GTGGGTGAAGTAGATGAATGGTCATTAAGAGTTTGTTTGGTGAATGTAGCTTTGCTTAAAAGCTACCCTGCTGAAAGCTTAAGGAATGAGATTCTATGTGACACATCTTTTCAAAATAAGAGCCCTTCTAAGCTACAAGCAAATTAGCGACACAATACTGTAAGAAATAATAACTTTTCTTAAGCTATAACCTGAATTTAACCTCTTATTAAACACGCAGTAAGTCTTTAGGACAAGAATATACTGTTTCAAAAGGATGTCCTATTTTTTCATTATGAACTTTTCACGTGAAAAAGAACGTATACTTTTGCTGCACTTATTAATTTTTGGGAAGCAATCTTCATTTTTAGATATTTGGGTCAAAGAAGTTTGTACACAAAGAATAAGTAGTTGGAGTGAGATGTCTAATTGAAATGATTTGGGTTTAAGAGACAGTTCATTTGTTTGGATTAGGAAGAATAGCGGGAGAAATTTTGGGATGATTATATGGCAATTGACATGTAGGAATCAAGATGAGTTACTTGAGGATTTCAAATACATAGCTTGTTCCGATAAAGTTATTATATAATGGATTTCAAATCCTTGTCTGCTGTATTTTGAGTCATTTGAAACCATTCCTCCAAATCCTATCCTCAAACTTGAATCCTTAAATCCAGATGCATTCTTAGCTTGTTTTGTGTTTTATATATGTATGTTCCTTTTAAGTTTATTCATCCTTTTGGTTTGCTCAAAGTTCAATTAAGGTTTTACATAGTTAATTAGTTATAAAAGGAGAATGCCTTGATTATTATTTAAATAGAGGAAAATGAATCATTTTGCTCTGCTTCTTGAAACTTTACTGAATAACTTGTTCTTGCATCTCTTTTTCCTGAATAGTCTGACTCTTTACATGGATTTTCAAGACTAAAGGTTACTCCGCCTATTCCATGCTCTCGCCTCTTAGACATTATTTAGTTATAACAAAAAGTAAATGGAATATGGTACCACATATCGTATAACTATACTACAAAACTTGTATCGTGATGATCCCAACTAATGAATGAGAACTATATAAGTTTGGAGAAATATACATATTATGTTGTATTGTTATGAGGTGGTCATAACATGAGTGTCGTTATCCTCACTTAAATCCTTTTATTGAAAATTGTTATATCAAATCATATTTATTAAATCCTCTCTATGCAGGATTCTTTGAACACAGCTGTTCAAAATCCATCTCCAGATATAATCTTTTTTCCTTTCTCAACATACATTCTCCTATCTAATGGAACCAACATTAGAAGCCATCAAAAGCGGTGGGGGTTCGATTAAGGTCGGGACAACTGGGACAATAAGTGCTCTCATGTCCAAAGAGCTCGACTCCACTAAATCAACAACTTCAAGAACCAAGCCTAGAACATCCTTGGATGAACCAAGCAGCAATCGTGACATGAACACTATTAAAAATCCAAGAAACACTGAAAATACAAAAAGGATGAAAAGCCACAATAGAAGCACTCATCAAATACCGATGCTTACAGCCGACTGCACGTCCTTAGACGGGACCCCTATAAGGCCAAAGCCCATGCGGAAGGGCCCGACCAACGTAGTCGAGATAGTGGACATAAAATGCGGTGGATCTGACCGGAAATGGGTGAGCCCCATCACTGACCGCCTGAAGAAGCTTAATTTTTCCAAATTATCCGAAAGCATTGTGTAAAAAGTAAAAGCATCTTACTACCTCTTCAGATCGTACTACCTCTTCAGATCGGCTTGCAGGTTTCTGTAGGGCAGCGTCTTTTCTTGTTGTTTGCTTTCGGCCACATCTACAGTAGAACAGATTCTCGGCATGCACCTTTTTCCTTTTCTCTTCTTTTTCTTGGGGGCAGTCCCAACGGACTCCGAGCCGTTTGGGGTGGCCCTACCTAATGACTCGAGCCGGATGAAGTAATCTATTTCTTGCATGACTAGGGATCCAACTGTCCCTTTTGTTCCAATGGCTGCTGGATTATTATTATTATTGCTGTTATTATTGGATATTGCCAGCATTTTCTTGGGAATGCTACTTGAAAAAGAACTGTGTAGTGTTAGGAGAGTGTTTTCTTTACTGGGAGGTTTTTTGCTGGATGTGAAGCATGTGTGGGGACTAAATATCTTGTGACTTTGTGGGATTGTTTTTTTTTTTTTTTTTCCTCCCTTTTCTTGATGAATTTGTTGGGCATATTTTTTTTTTTTTTTTAAAAAAGTGGCTACTTTCTGTTATTGATAGGTGATGTCACTGGATTCATGTGCATGCAGTTAAACCTATTTAAGTTGCTGTCACGTCCCGCTGTTTCTCTTTAACTGTCTGTGTATGCATTTCACCTTGTTTCAATTCGTGGTGGATGGCTTTGGCATTATCACCTCTAACTTATTACATCCTTCTAGCTGTTTGGGACATGACATGATTATGATTAATAAAAGGGCGAGGTCCCATTTCTTTCAAGATTATAGAATTGGAAGATGCTACGGTTCAGTTACTGGACCATTCCATCGGGATTTGTAACTGTTAGATCAATTATCTCTGGTTGCAAAATTCGATGGAATAGTTCCGTAATGGGACCTTAGGGACCTTAGCATTTCTCTATAGTAGTAAATCGATTGGTCATACGTGAGTATATATATATGGATGCGTTACAGTGAGAAAAGTTTTCAACGAAAGAAATATGAATACATCGCAGCCATTAGATTAGATGATCCAACGATAAAAAATAAACATTTTTTCACCTTCATTAAGGGTAATTTAGACAAACACCACAATTACATCCACATGTGGGTCCCATCCAGCCACACCCCCACTATACTCTCTCACATGCACTAACACACACTGCTCACGCATCAAACACGCACACACACATCACACACAATTATCGCACAAAAAACATAAAATATGTCCGGCTCCTCACCACCGCCGCCGCCGTCGTCGCCATGCCTGCCGAAGCATCCCCGCCACCACCGGAGTCCACTGTCAACATACCATAATTTTTCCGCGTCGGAGTCCACCGCCAGAGCATCATTGTCGTCGTCGGCTACCCTCCATGCATAATCCCTCGGCGACGACGTTCGATTATGCCCCGTCGTCGTGCGCCTGTGTCGTCCCCCGACGACGATGTCCCCCGTTGTCCGCGTCGTCTCCCTTGCCCCTTGCCCGTCGCTGTCCTCCCTGACTGGCTCCGTTTCGTATATCGGAGGACGCGGCGACGACTTTATCCGCCCTCCCCGTCGCCATATCCACTCCGCGTTGGTAGATCTAGATTGCAATAAACAATCCATCAAAAAATCTAAAATCAGGGAGGGTGATTGGTTCAACAATTAAGAAATTGGGTCTGGGCAATTTGTTGAGAATTAAACAACGCTAAAGGACCTATTTGCAAATTAATTTTTTTTAACTTTATTACAATTAAGATCATGGATAAAGGACACAGTGGGAGTTCATTTTGCTCGACAATAGGAATCCAAGTGTATACAATGCAGTAAATGAGACTTGATACCTATTATTGTCATGGTCATTGTTAGTAGATATCGGAGTACTTCTATAACATGCGCATTGGATCGTGGTAAAAATATAGTCAAGTGTCGTAGCATGACTAAGGATAGTATGTTGGTTTGCAGACTATGAGTTACAAAATCAGACTTGAACAATAAGTAAAATCTACCTCGAGATTTAATTTCTAATCAGACGTGAATAATATGTAAAATCTACCTCGAGGTTTTTTTTCTTTTAATTATGAGGTGGAGCCAACAGTTTGGAGGAATGTCAAACAAGTAATTCGTTGATAGATTCCACCAATGAAACTCATTTCGTCGCGGGCTGAAGGGCAAGCGATGGAAGAGGCTGGACTCCGAGAACCTCTATTGGCCAAAATATGAAATCCTGGTTTTTCCAAGTCAGGTCACAATTTGATTATGATAACAGTTGGTGCAGTGACAAACGTATAGTAATCACAAGTTCATAAAGCAAGTAAGCACGAGCAATGTGAAAGATCGTAAAGGAATAGAGGTTTTGTTGCCTAGTTACATCAGTAGGCGATCAAGTATATCCTTTTGGTATTGACTTTCTAGTGAAAGCAGACGATGGCCATGTTAAGGGATTGAGAGTCGAATGTATGGCAGTTAGGACAACCATTTCTTTAAGAATAACGATTGAAAGAGTGTATACATAGAAAAGTCGAAAGATTTAAAGTATAAGTGAGAAATTGTTGAACTATACTGTAGAAGCTTTGGGTTACTATCAATTCTACTTTGAAGTAGAGGACGCGACCCAGAACCGTACATCTAGCCCCGTAGGTCGTGTATGTCTAGTTGGCAAAATTTTAAAACGTAAGTCCTCAATCCTAACGATAGATTCTAAGACGTCACAATTTATTTCGATAACATTTGGATGTGCACTTAAGCCGACATTCTTCACATAACCCAACAATATACATACGGTTCATTATCATCTTCATCCCTAACTTAAGCATCAGAACTACTATGTGAGACCACCCCAACATTGTTTTGGAGGTTATTCACTGGCTCATGAGCAGTTCAAAGGATGTTCAACCGGGTCGAGGTCATTTGCACTACCACCGCGAATGATCGGTCTTCATTCTTGACGACAAATGTGCAATCTCGCCACTATTTATCGGTACAAATTTCCTAAATCTTCACTAGGGTACAAAACAAGAATCAAGTCATTGCATCGACCTAATTAGACTGTCTATGACATGCATAGGATAGGACATGGAAGAAAGTCTTCAGCAACTCTTATTATTATATACAAGCAAGACGCTACCCCACTCGATGTTGGCCATGGACCATGGGCAAATTTATCTGATCATCTTTTATCATCTTTTAGGAAAGCAGAAGATATTCATATTTTATGTTCGTTTATGTTGCTGGCCTTCACCGGATATTCCTGCATGCTGACCCCTCTCTGGAAATACTGGGATTTCCGCTTCCTTTTATTGGAACTATGTTTCTATTTATTTTTGTCATGCTCTTCATTGCTTGGCCTGTAAAATGACCAACGGGAACGCGCATGGGATCATCAAAAAGATAACTAGTAATCATGGGAAAACAACAAACGGTTAAATAGAAAACATGTTCGTTTTGTTTGTGAGGGTCAACTAGAAGAAAAAACATAAAACAAGGCACTAGCACGCTGATTAAATTGTGTACCTTTGTAATATAAGTGCAGAAACTACAAACTAGAAAAACAACTTTACAATAACAAAAATCGATTAAGAGAAAAAGAAATTTTCAAGACAGTATATCCATTATCCCATATATGACCAAGTGATGTTGAGAAGGAAAAGGAAAACCATCAAGCAAATCGTTCAATACAACTGTTCTGTTCCGCAATAACCAGGGTTCTCATTAAGACATGCATATATAAATTAACTTAGGAATTGGAGGAAAATCAGTAGGAATATAAAAAGAGAGACGCTGATTACGGAGATTAGACAAAAAAAGAAAAAAAGAAAAATAAAAAAAGGCGAAATTAGTACACCTCGTAGGATGCACCATCATCGAGTTTATATGTATAGATAAAACTTTGCTCTGTCAGTAGAAAAGATGAATATAAAAATTCCACAATAATTTTTTTTTTCCTTTTTCCTTTTTGGTAAGTTTCACATTCAGTACCCAAAGTAAGGTTCAATTTTAACACCAGTACTCCACCTTTAGTGTCTTTCAAACTTGAAACCCAAACTCTGAAAGTTGACAAAGTTGATGATACCCTACCGCAAGTAATACACGAAGTTGTCTTGTGTGTGTATTTACATTTCTTTCATATATCAAATAAGGAAAATAAATAAAACTTTAAATCTCTAAATGGTTATTACAATTTCATTGCCAAACAGAAAACATGGAAATACAAAAAGGAACAAAAATAAACCACACAAACAATGGTTAGCAATGGTGAGGCACGGTGGCAGGCCACCGGCCATGGCTCAGGTCCATCTCTCTCCTGGCTGTTGTACAAAATAGTTTTATTGGACTGGGAACAGTTTAAGTTCTAAAGGTGTATTGGTGATGACGTAAGTTTTGCATAGGTAACTAGAGCTGGCGGTGAAAGGAGGAAAGAAAGATTGCAGCAGGGTGTGAAAAAGGGTGACCGCTGAAGGAAAAGAGGAGATAGGGTGGCTGGTAAGGGACAAAAAATGAAAAAAGAAAATGTCAGACTGAGTTAAGGCAAAGACCTTCATCTTATGGTGATAATTATTTTTGGGGTCAACATATTTTTGTTCCAGCATTTCTTTGGGTCATTGCGTGTGGTTCTTTGAGCTGTGTGTGGGTTGGCTCCGGCTGTCGAGGGGATGGTGGTGGCTACTGGATGAAAACACTCCAATTTCTCTCTCTCTCTC